GCTGTATATACGGTCATTTAAGAAATAAAATTCAAGTCTCTAGCTCTTATATCTTCTGAAATCGGGACAGGGCTAAATCGACTTAGCCCGTCGCCTTGATCAAGAATATATGTATATACTTTGTGGGATCTGCCAAGCCTCCTTCTGCCTGTTACATACATTTTAACAAAACCATTGAAAATGGGCTCAGGGTATAAAAAAATACTACTTATTCATAGTCATTTTGAGCTAATGCTTTTGCAGATATCCGCTCGCCTCAAATTCTACAAAGACCATAGAAATCAAACCGAATACGATTGGAAGAGGGTTATTTGGTCAGATGATACTAAAATAAATCGCTACCAGTCTGACGGAAAGGAGTATTAATAGCACCGGCAACAGGGAAAGCTGAATAAGTAATATGCAATAAAGCATAGTGGTTGAGATCAATGGACTTATGATTAAGGAAGACTGTCTGAATATTATGAAGGCCAACCTTCCAGACTTTGTGGATATTAGTGCATCTCTCGAGGAAGAAGTCGTGTTTCGGCAGGACAATGACCCCCAGTACAAAGCGAAAATCGCCAAGAATTAACTCGATTATAAAAAATTTTTGATATTGGAGTGGCCTACTCAAAGTACAGATCTGAACCCCATTAAAAATTGAGGACATTGGTTAATAAAAGACTCTCAATGTAAGATACACCACCGACTGGGATGAAGGGGTTTTAGTGTCGGATCCAGGCAAAGTTGAGCGAAATTCTGCAGGCCTCTTTTGGAAAAGTGGAGGAGAATATGCCTAAGTGCATTGCTAGTGTGATTAAAGCTAAAGATCTTTGGACAAAATATTAAAAATAGTAAATATTTAAAAAAAGTTTAAAACGAGCAAAAGTGGATACATAGCTCTTTTTATGTATTCATCTGAATAACTTGAATTTAGAATCAAAAAGTTAAACAAATGATTTTACCATATTATTTAAATATATCAAATGAATCACATTCCAAAATTTCAGACAGATTCATGAATTTTTTATGTTTTTACAGGCATTTTAGAGTCGACTTGGCCAACGTGTATCCATACGTGCTCGCCACTGTACATATATACTTTTCATATTTACTGTAGAATTTAGATTTTTTTTTATAATTCACCCTCCTTCCTTATATCCTATGTTTGTAGAAGGAGCATTTCAAATACTAGAGATTTGAGCTCTGGCAAGTGCAATATAATTACGATCTAAAAGTTTCATGAAGATAGTCCACCTTGCAGTCTATGCGTGTTTGTGCGTGAATGCGTATATGTGTCTGTGTGTGTCTCTTGTGTAAGCAGAAACGCGTGAGGAATTATTGAAACATCAGTTCTTCGAAGGGTTCGAGCAGTCTCGACTAGAGCTTTCTTACTTGATTGTTTTTGTCATTAAACATTAAACTAATTTATTATATTTACATCAAGCAAATCAAAGAAACTCTACTGAACAACTCTCCGAAAATAAAATAAAATGTTCACTTTTATCGATAAGTGGACATACACAAACACATACACACACATATACAAACACATACACACACAAGCACCCACGCATAAACA